ATTCAAATTTAATAAAGATAAAACTAAAACAGTAAACTTTTTTTTTTATTTATATATATATATATTTAACAATTTATCTATCATTTATTTTTTTAAAAAAAAAAATATTAAATCAAATTAAAAATCTTGCTCGTTTCAAAAACATTATAATTTGCTAGGACAATATCTGCGTAAGTAATTTCTACATATGCCTGTAAACTATTTTTATCTTTTTATCTCAAATTTTGAAAATGATGGTCTCAACATGTTCTTTATCATTTCAAACCAAAAATATGTCATCAGTATATAGTTTAGTGAACGTTAACAATATGTATATGTGCTTGATAGTAAAGCAAATTAGTAAAGTAATAATTTAACTTAATCATAACACCATCAAAGTTTATGCAAAAGTTACAAAACACAGTGTGAATTAATAAAACTTGTAAGGTAAACAGATCAAGATCTTGGAAAACAGAGAAACTAAAATGTTTGTTATACAATAATAATTCAAAAAACTAACATGTTTATGTAAAAGATGAAAAATCAAATCACAGAAACTAAATTTTTAAAGAGAAAAGAAGAGAGTTTAAGACCAAGAAAACTAATTAAGAGAATAATATGATAGCACAGAAGTAAACTGAAATACATAAAGAAAAAACCAAGGAATACACCGCATATTAGTTTTGAGAATTTAACATAACAGCAAACAGTATGTAAAACAAATAGTTGAATGATATGATATGGTGTGAACTCTGAATGGAAAAGAGGAAGAACCAACTAATTTAAGACAAACATAAATGTTGAAATTCAAACAATTTCTGACAAGTTACTAAAGCCTACAGGCTAACTCAAAAGTTTCTTCCTAAGTTCTAAGACTAAAAGAAAAACAAATTTATTAAGGTTGTCTCACGAAGAAATGTATAACTGAAGCCAAACCAGACTGCACATTATTAATCCTGTATTAACAGCAACCTATAGAGCCCACAAAACACCAGCCTATCCTACAACATTAAGCTCAACAAAACCTGCCACTAAACTGCATGGATCGCGCTGCTGCTTGAATTCATGCTTGAACTACCTGAGCCCGGATTGGCATGAAATGCGGATTGCCTAGAGGAAGGACCTTCCAGAAGCTTTAGTGAAAGAGATGATGGCCCAGCATGACCAATTGATTCTCCCAAGCTGAGTTTTGACATGCCAACCAGTTCATCAACATTGATTGGGCTCTTTGAATGCACTGCAGTTGGCCTCAAGACTTCATGTGTTTCTTTCTTTGCTGGCTCCGTATTATATCCAGGCCAAAATGGAAAAGAAAATGGAAAGTATGGTGAGAAATAAGCAGGATATATTACTGGGTAACAGGATTGTGAGTTATCTTGCTTTGGAGGAACAGGTTCTCCATCATTGGAATTTGTAGAATCCATTGATTCACACTCTTCATCCAAGGCAGGAGGAGGAGGTAATGGATTGCTGCTCTGTGTTTCCACTG